AGCAGCAGACCTCCCAGTCTATGCCACAGCAGACCCAGTCTATATACCCATTCTATACAACTGCAGTATTTTTTTGTTATCTATACTATCTACAGAATTTCTTAGCATGTATTTTATAGTATTATTTATAGTATAGTATCTATTTATGTTTTTTTAATAATCTTTATTGCTGCGGTATTTTTAATTATGGTCTTCCACCTAAAACTCCAGCACTCAAATGTGCGCTGATATTACTGCTGTGATGTGGAATTTTGTACGAAAAATTATGTTGTGAATCTGCAGTGGGTGCAATATGATGTTATTTCCAGTTGAGTATTTGCGTCGCTTGTGAAAAGGGGTTTTAGTTGTTATAATTTCCTTTAATTTTATATTGGCTGTAACATACAAGTTATTATATATACTGCAATACTTGTGAATAAATTAGTAGCATTAATGTACAGTTCTTTTCAACCGAGCTACTGCTGCATGCAGCACCCAGATACACCATCATCCAATACATCTAATACACAGCTGTACATCTGAGCTGCATCCAATACATCCAATCAACATCAAGCAATAAATCAAATCAACAGCTGCAATCAAATTAAGATCAGCAATGTAAGAACAATTTAGGCAGAAATGTTAACATGAATTACATCTGTGCTATACACCTTAGCAGCTGCAACACACATTCTTCCGAGCTGCAGCTGCAACTGCAACAGAGTTCAACATCTGCGTCTGAACATGTCTCCGCTGCAGACATTTATGCCCTTACTTAGCCTGCAGCAGCAGCACTTAACGCGCTGCAAATTGCAGACTCTTACAGACTGAAAGTTGTAGGGTGCCGAGCGGGGCCGACCGCTACCGGCTTACACGTCGACTAGAGAGTCGAGATCTGCTCGAGAATGCCATGTGGTTCTGAGATCATGTATGCCACATGACAATGCTGCAGTATGCTAGGCATGCAGCATGTGGTTCTGAGATCATGTATGTCACATGACAATGCTGCAGTATGCTGGGCATGCAGAATGTGGTGGTAGTATGCTAGGCATGCAGCATGTGGTGGCAGTATGCTAGGCATGCAGCATGTGGTGGCAGTATGCTGGGCATGCAGCATGTGGTGGCAGTATGCTGGGCATGCAGCATGAGGTGCCAGTATGCTAGGCATGCAGTATGTGGTGGTAGTATGCTAGGCATGCAGCATGTAGTTGCAGTATGCCAAGAAAGTTATTCATGTGGTAATGCTTGCAATGTGTTAATGCATGATAATTAAGTGCACTGAGAACTTCGTGGTCTTGTCAATTGATTATGTGGCAGTCAGGGTCGGCTGCAGAAGACCACCACTGCCTGAGTGTAATGGACCATCATGATTCCTGCCTTCCGGAACGTAGCCTTCAACACTTCTGGACATGGCAGGAAGATAGCGCAAACATTCAACTTATTTTCCACTCACCTCTATAACTTATAACCCATTCGAAAACATAAGGCGGCGGGGTTTATATACATCCCAATACGAACATTAATTTGCAATTGCGAGCACGTCGTCGTAAAAAAAAGCTGTTGAACTCAGGCTCAGGCACAGCATGCAACATCTTTAACAAAAGCTCCATCCTTATTAACTTCTCTGCCGAATCCACGACAATCATATCTCGGCCGTGCGTCGAACCAGCCCTCGGTCAAACGGCCACTAGTCGATGGACGATAAATTTTGGAACATAACTATGCTATCTGAAACTTAACCTCAGATGCGGTGAACGTGGAATTACGTAATTTAACGATGCCCGGAAATCACATTCGATTCGCGGCATTGTGGTGCACGTCAGGTTTTATGCAAGGCCGGAAGAGGACAAAGCAGAGTGGTTCACGACTGATTGGTGGATGTCCGGAGAGATCCAAGGCGTTCGATTCAAGGCTTATTGGTGCACAAAATTGGTGGTGCACGGCTGTGCTCCCGGCAGAGAGTAAATTAATAATGCTCGCCGTTTTTGTGGCACCGGATTATCAATCGCGCGTGCCACTACATGCCACACGATTGCGTATGCCACATGATGGCGCATACTACATCTTAATAATTTCAGAAATTATGCTCACACTTCTTTTCGCGCAACTTTTTTACTTTTATTTATTTATTCATGTCACTTCATATTGCATATGCCATTTACTCTGGAGTTCTTCTTTGCTGAGCACGCCATAAAATTATTCACTCATTTCACTGAAAAGCTTTTGTCACATAAGCGTTGAAAGTATCTTTGAAATTCTATCGTAACTATTCGAATTACGGTTATGGTTGCTTATCACATGTTTCCTTCTTTTGTACCCTTTCTGTCTGAATTATTTCACTGGCTTATATGCGTTTGCGGTTATTTGAACATGTCTTGTCTGTACGTATATATTCTGGTCGCTTCATTTACTAATGTAAAAATCGTTATCGTGCTATATAAATGGTCCATTCATGTAAATATTCTATTATCTTAATTCACAGCAGGTGTTATATTTTTTCATTTCTTATATCCATTATATTTTTACAATTTTTATTTGGGAAGGGCTACATGCATGAATGGCTACGTCAATTCAATCTGGACAGAAGTACGTGAATTTCTTGCTTGCAGAAAAATGTGTAAAGACAATAACATTAGCGTGCGAGGAGATGCCCAAGCATTAGCTGTGGCCGATGCAAAATGAACTTCATTAAATGAACAAAATAAAGAGCATTTCTATATAGAGCTCCAATGTAGCGGCTACTGTGCAAGCTTTTACCTTCGAATTTCGATTTTCGTTTCTGTATCGATAATCAGGGACATTTTAACCTCTTATTTTGTGGTAAAGGGACCGAGGGTGGGCGCCTTGCCCCAAGCCCATGGGCCCATTGCCCCAGGGGTGGGGCAATGGGCCCATTTTGACACTTTTTACGAAATAGTATTTAATTAAAATTTGAAAAACTCGATAGGCGTCTAATTCACATCATACATTCCTCATTACTCGTACTTTTAAACAAAACAAAGAACCACCTCGTATCAATTTAAACTTCATCAAAAATGTAGTTTAAAAAAGGAGGGGGGGGGCGCTGCCTCATGTTGCCCTACTGATCTAATTTTGTATGATAAGATTTTGCCACATAGCTAGGCGTTGAATGTCTTGGAAATTCTATTGCAATTATTCGATTTTTTTAATTGCTTATCACATGTTTTCTTCCTTTGGACCTTTTTGTCGAAATTATTTCACTAGCTTCTATGCGCTTTTGCTGTTATTTGAACATGTCTGGTCCGTACGCCTATACTGCAGGGTCGCTTTAAATACTAATGTATAGTTTCGCTATCGTGCTCTAGAAATGGTCCATTCACGTAAATATTCGACAATTTTAATTTACAGCAGGTCTAATATTTTCTCATTTTTTATATCCATTATATTTTTACAATATTTTATTCGGAAAAGCCTGTGTGGGTGAATGGCTACGTCAATTCAATCTGGACAGAAGTACGTGAATTTCTTGCTTGCAGAAAAATGTGTAAAGACAATAACATTAGCGTGCGAGGAGATGCCCAAGCATTAGCTGTGGCCGATGCAAAATGAATTTCATTAAATGTTGTGGCCGATGCCCAATGAACTTTGTTTTAATGAACAAAACAAAGAACATTTCTAGAGCTCCAATGTAGCGGCTACTGTGCAGGCTTTTACCTTCGAATTTCGATTTTCGTTTCTGTATCGATAATCAGGGACATTTTAACCTCTTATTCTGTAGTAAATTCCGATTCGATAAGAATTTCTTTGCTACAAACGTACAATTTGATTACGTTCATATTACTTCTAGGTTTTCAACAATTTCCAGCAGTGCTAACATGTTGAATTAAACACAATAGTATAAAACATTTGTATTTCAGCATCGGTACACTGAACGCCGTTCATACGCTTCACACCAACAGTATAATTTCTCACTTACTCCAAACACTCAAGTTTTACAAGCATTAAAAAACTACCACTCCCATTAATATTTACTTTTAACAATAATTAACAATATTTTCAACAACCTATCTTTATAAAGTGTTATCCGTTCAAGCAAACATTAAATAGTTTAACACGGAGACTTGTATCTTTACCGCAATTCTTATGAAATTTTTAGGAACATTCAAGGCTAAAATTGCAAATTTCCGTCCTAAGGATTTAATCAATAATTTAGGATGCAATTTAATAAATATTTTATGATTTAAGCTATAATTTAGTATGCAGTAATAAGCAATAAATACAAAAAATACAGGTAAAAAGTACAATATTAACTTTTTTCCTTTAAGTGCGTTTTATTAATACAAAGTTTACGATCGCAGTAGGAAGCGTCTCTGTTATACGCTGGTAGGAAGCGTCTCTGTTATACGCTGGTAGGAAGCGTCTCTGTTATACGCTGGTATTGGAAACATTTTCGTTATACGCTGGTATGAAGCGCCTCTGCTATACGCTGGTATGAAGCGTCTCTGTTATACGCTGGTATGAAGCGTCTCTGTTATACGCTGGTAGGAAGCGCCTCTGTCATAAGCTGGTATGAAGCGTCTCTGTTATACGCTGGCTGGAAGCGTCTCTGTTATACGCTGGTAGGAAGCACTTCTGTTATACGCTGGTATAGGAAGAATTTCCGTTATACGCTGGTAGTAAGCGTCTCTGTTATACGCAGCACATTTCCAGAAACACTGAAACCTAACGAGCGTTACAGTTACACTGCAATGTGATGTATAGTTTGCAAGTTACACTGTAACAACCATGACGTTATATGATGCGCTGCAGCGAGCTGTTGGTGCAATAAAGCTAGGTCCCGCGAATGCTATATTAAAAACCATAGCTTAAAAACCACATTGCACGTAATTTTTATAAACAATTTGTGATTTATATCCTTTGAATATCCAACGTAACAGCCAGCCTTTGACTCTAGTCGTCCTTATGGCACTCAGTAATCAATTGGTTCATTCTAAAAGGAAATTTTAGAAAGAAAAATCTTTACTTTTCAAGCACTTACCACTCAGGAAAGCGCATTTATCTAACATTTACCCTATTTGTATACATGGTATGAAAGTAAACCGCAATTGTTATATACACTAACATAGGCAATATGATCGATTATAGACTATTTGGATTAACATAGATCAACATGGACATTTACACGACACGGAATTATAATGAAATCACTCTTCGGAATTCACGATTGCAGGTTTCCGTAAATGTTGAACGAATTTTTCTTGATCTTTTACGAGGACTAAACTTCCGATGTTTTATTATATGATTTCCCTATACTTCTTATTTCCATCTTTCCAAACCTATTGGATAAGCAAAAAAAACTCTCGTTGGATGCCACTTTATCTTACCATTATTCTTCGGAGCTCGATTGCGGTACAGGATCATAACACTCGAAAACAATCCAGTGTGTCACTATCTAATTATGAATTCGGGGACACTATGTGATTTTCAAGTCTTTCGCGTATGAACCCCTAAAACTTTTATTAGTAATCATTTTTCATCTTTTTTAACAATCAAGCAGAATTTCTAAAAAAGTTCATATATTAAATTTTTCATCGATTGCAAATTCTAATTACATCGGTAAATAATATCACACAGTAGTTTCAGTAGAATCTATAAAATTTTTCAGTAAATCACTCTTGATGCTGTAGTATTTACTCTCACTCAAGTCATCGTTCGTATGGTTTTTCAATTGGATCCTAGATTTGCCGCAGCTCAAACGCAGATCGTTCTTGCTGCGACCGAGACTAGAAACTTTCCTAAGAGCCAAACAATAGTTGGCCCTTTTTGGCCTTTTTCATATCCAGGGTCCGGTGTGCGTCTCGAGGACGTGGGCCGCGTCAGGACGGCCCATGACGCGCAGGACGTTCAACAGATCCGTGACTGCGGACGCCTGCCGGTGCCGTGCCTCCCACAGGTCCAGGATGTGCTCAGTAGGGCTGTTCTTGCACGCAAAGTAATTCAGGTACCTGGGACAAGGAAAACGGAACCTTGGCTACTAACTTTTATAACGACAATTTTAATGTTATCATTGACCATATAGTTACTAACTTTAAAGTTGATAGATAAAGAATTGCAGGCTGTTCTCACACGCAAAGTAATTCAGGTACCTGAGACAAGGAAAATGGAACCTAGTTACTAACTATTGTAACGACAATTTTAATGTTTTCATTGGCCATAAAGTTACTGTTATACGCTGGAGTTAAAAAGTTACTAACTTTAAATTTGATAGTAGATAATTGCACGTGTTTCTTTTTGCATATATGACGCAAAAAATTAAATGTAATAAAAATTCCCATTTTACAGTTGTCATTGGCCATAAAGTTTTTAATATTAAAGTTCATACTGGAGAATTGAACTTCTTTCTTCTTCATAAATGACGCATTACAAAATTCATTTTATAAAAATTCGCATTTGCACATATTTAATCACGAAAAGTTGTAAGAAAGACTGGCAAAAGAATTTCATTGTTCGTTGTACAAAAACGTTGAAAGCCATCAACGGATCTTTCTACCTCTGAGAGCCAAAAAACAAATTGAATTCCCAAGTTTCACTCGACATTTCTGGTGATTGCCAATTTGAAGAGTTATAGTGGACGCAGTAAAATGTACCAATCATTGACTGCGGACGCCTGCCGGTGCCGTGCCTCCCACAGGTCCAGGATGTGCTCAGTAGGGCTGTTCTTGCACGCAAAGTAATTCAGGTACCTGAGACAAGGAAAATTGGGGTCTTGGTTACTAACTTTTATAACGACAATTTAAATGTTATCATTGACCAAATAGTTACTAACATTAAAGTTGATGTAGAGAATTGCAGGCTGTTCTTATACGCAAAGTAATCAGGTACCTGAGACAAGGAAAATGGAACCTAGTTACTAACTATTGTAACGACAATTTTAATGTTTTCATTGGCCATAAAGTTACTGTTATACGCTGGAGTTAAAAAGTTACTAACTTTAAATTTGATAGTAGATAATTGCACGTGTTTCTTTTTGCATATATGACGCAAAAAATTAAATGTAATAAAAATTCCCATTTTACAGTTGTCATTGGCCATAAAGTTTTTAATATTAAAGTTCATACTGGAGAATTGAACTTCTTTCTTCTTCATAAATGACGCATTACAAAATTCATTTTATAAAAATTCGCATTTGCACATATTTAATCACGAAAAGTTGTAAGAAAGACTGGCAAAAGAATTTCATTGTTCGTTGTACAAAAACGTTGAAAGCCATCAACGGATCTTTCTACCTCTGAGAGCCAAAAAACAAATTGAATTCCCAAGTTTCACTCGACATTTCTGGTGATTGCCAATTTGAAGAGTTATAGTGGACGCAGTAAAATGTACCAATCATTGTCGCCCGACACGGCAATCTAATTGGATCGAAAAAGTTTCGCCAAAAAACACGATTGCCATAATATAGAAAAAAGGAAACTTAATGTTTATCGTTTATAAAAAATAATTGGTGAGTGAATTGTCATCAGCTAATAAAAGAGTTTAATATATTTTTACACTGATTTGTATCATAATTTAAGCGGATCGTTATCATCGTTGATGCATTTGCCACGTATGTACTCACATTTTTTATTTCGATTCAGACCGGCATCGGAGAAATTTGTGTATAAAAATTTGAGTTAGGACTCATATATAACCTGTTACTAACATATAGCCCTCGATTATAAATAAATCACTCAGATATTAAAAATTAAAACAAACGATAATCTGAAATAAAACATGTATGATTCGTATCTGCTTTAGTCACAAACAACGGTCGTAATTTCTACGATTATCTAAATTCTTGTTAATCGTATCAACATCAAGTTTTAACATGTGCCTACTCACCCATCTGCGATGCAATATCATCCCCCTATATACATCGAACCTTGAATATATGCAACGTCAAATAATGTCATTGAATTGAATAGGATAATTCGTCAATGATTTAAGCATGGCAGGATTGGAGAGCTTGTGACCTCAATACTGAGGCAAAATAATGTTGCGCGCGAGCTGGGTTAGGGCTAAGTCTAGCGTATGAATATCATTACGAGCGAAGTAATTGTGGAGCAATTCGCCCGCAATTTACTTGTCGACGTCAAGATCAGCGCCGCTCACTGTAGTATTCGTGCTATTCGACTTTCAAAAAACGGACTTCAATAGGTGGATTACGAACGGCCAATCGATGATTTATTGGCAACCGCCGATGATGTTTTACGATGATGCTCTTCAATGAGATAATATCTGACAGAGGTTAGGCCTTACAGAACTTTTGTAGGTCATTTGATTACCGATTATCGCAAAATTATTTCAGCATGCCATATATGGAGCGATAGCTGCTTAATGACAGATGGAATCAAAAGTAATTTAATGATTAAGCGGCCGTTAAATGACGCCCGAAAATTCATTCATGATTTTTGATCGGTTATTTCACCAATATATTATTCATTATTGTTGAATATTCAAAGTTTTTAAAATTTTTGACTAATTTTTCTCCAATCTTCGCTAGCAATCACCACAATACATCCGCAGTTCAAAAAATCCAAAATGTATGATGGCACTAAATTTCAAGTTGAACTTTGTCTGGAAATTAAAATAAAACCCTTAATAAAAATTTCTTGGTCTTCCCATTTGTGCTGCTAATAATTATTGTTTAAATTAATAATTAGTGTTGAAATAATAATTTTGGATTGAAACGAACTACAAAATAAACAAAGCACGTACCCAGAAAAACGAAATTGGTACCCAGAAAAAAAGTAATACCAGACAACAAGCATTGATTCTGAAATCAGTTGTTGTTTTTACTTCATTTCAGTGTATAATCGAAAAAATTTTACAAACACACATTTTGTAACTAATTGAACTTCAGAGAACAAACAGCAACTAAATCAATCCACTGTATTTCAGGAAACTTGTCCTGAATTTCACTAGTTATTGCAAGATGAAAGTGCAAGTGCGGTATCGCTCATCGTCATTAAGGTTAGCATCTGTTATCTATATCCATGAATTGTACTCCTAAGAACTGAGCCGGAATTCAACAATTAATTACTACATAAAGGAGCAGTTATTTTCACTGGGTAATTGCAACATAATAATGCAAGTATACTTTACAATATATACACATTATAATGTATTAATATTTAGGCGTTGAAATTTTTAGCATTTAAAACTAAATCGATGAATTACACTCCTCAGATCTGAGCCGGAATTCAACCGTTGATTGCCAATATAATAATGCAGTTAGTTGGCTGCAATAATATATTATATTCATCATACTATATTACATGTATAATGCACAATAATATTCACACCTGTCGACATTGAGACGCACGGCGAGCATTTAAAACTTAGTTAGTTGAATGCAATAATATATTATATGCATCACAGTATATTACATGTATAACGCACAATAATATTCATGCATCACAGTATTTTACATGTACAATGCACAATAATATTCACACCTGTCGACATTGAGACGCGCGGCGAGCATGCGCCAGTCGTTGCCGCGCGCGTTAGGAGGGTCGAGACAGCGGCAGAGCTCGCGACGTACGCGGGCAGGCAGACGTACGGGCCCGCACTCCCCCGACGACGTCGACGATGCGACGTTAACTGAACCGTTCGAGCTTAACGTCGCCGACACTGCCATGAGGAAGCCAGGGGAGAATGGATTAGGTTGCATCAAAGGCGAGAATGAGCAGCGATCATGTGATAATTAATTAAAAATCGAAAATCAGAATTTTAATACATGCGTTTGAATTTAAATGCAGCTTTTGGATATATGTTTGGCGTTAATCTGATTGAGAAAACACTTTGCATGAAAATAATTTAAATAAATAAATTTTTATTCAGATTCACTATTTTATAAAACTATCAATGAATGATCGAGTGATTCGAACATGGGATGGATGTCAGCCAACAATATCTGACCTGTCTCTCATTGGAATAAATTATTGTAGAAGTTATTATTAATTTAATATATTATTAGTTGAGTTTATATTCACATTTTTTCTAGCATCAGGGATATATTATTAGTTATTAATTTATTATAATTTTAATTTTTTATCATAATTTTTTATCATATCATATTTTTTATCATAATTTAAGTTATTATTTGTTTAAAAGAAACAAAACCTAATAAATTAGTCTCACCTGACGCAGATCTGAGCCCCACGTGGGCGGGAGAGTCGGTGACAGGGGCGTAAGGGAAGTCAGTGTTGATCCTAATAACTTGTCTGTCAGCCGTGCAGCCTTTCTGCTGCACGACCAGGCGACACGACAGCGGGGGGCAGCGTCCCTCCAGCAGCATCTGCGAGTCGCTTCGCTCAAGACGGAACGAAAGGCTGGGGAAATCTGCGGATCCACCGCTTGGGGAGTTCCATAAACTCTCAAACGATATTTCCTGTGATTGTAAATGCAAAAACGGAGCATGAAAACCTTATTTTTATCCATTACTGATGAGCTTTTAGATTTCAAACTATAGTGAGTTGGTCAATCCTATTACTTCTCTATTCTATCCCATTGTTGTTTTGGGGTCCATTGTTTAGGAAATGTTCACATGTCACTTCACCCTTTCGAATGAGATTTCTTCCTATTGTTGGAAATATGTGAAATTTGACAAGTTTCGCCATTTCTGATAACCTTCTCTATCCAATACAGACGTGATCGGTTGCTGCATAATAATGATTTAAATAGATGTATAAAAAGATTTTATATACCTATACCCTGCGTCAATTCCCGACTCCTTCCAACTCTATACTGTAGTACAGAAACGAGAAGGTTAAAATGTTCGAAAAAAAAACGGCGAAAAAATTTTTGCACCGGCGTTTGAGTGGCAAGCGGCCCCGTGAATTGAAACCTTGTCGCCAGTTAACATACGAAACTCGGTTGAATTTCGCGGGACAACCAGCATATTTCACCTATTTTTTTTTCGAACAGTGCTCTCATTAAATAAAACGATGGGATAACAGACCTGGTGGTGATGCCGAGGGGTCATTTTCCACCCCGTGGCGACCTCATCGAGGGAGAAAACCAAGTTGGAGCCGCAGTCCAACAAGTTCAGCGTCCTGGGCTTGTCGAGCAGACACGCACCACGTTTACGCTCTTGCTGAGTGAGGTCTGGAGAGAGCATGTGGGCTTCGGTTTAGATTTTTATATTATATTTATTTATTATATAATATATTATTGTATACTATATTTATTATATGCATACTATATTATTATTATATTTTTTTATATATCACAAAGGTTAGTGAGTCCTGATTAAATGCTCACGAGTCCCTTTTTGGAAGATTTTATAAAATTTGATACACAACTATTTGGAGAAATTTTAATTTTTAGAAGCTTTACTATGATTCATGATTTATATGATACGCAAGGTCCATGTATTTTTGTGCCGGGATGTTTCGGGAAAAACTGCATAAATTTAAAGCATCAACCCGAACAACAAACTTAAATTATATAAACTTGGACAGTAAGAGACCGACTACGATTCATTCGAAATTGCGCTTTCGAAAATCAGTTTTGAATTGAGGAATGTGTTACTTTTAGTGTGTCGTTAATCAGACAAAATACACCAGCTACGAGACGGGCTTAAGGAAAATCTGTTTTACCGGCAAATTACTGCAGTTGCAGAAATCGAAGGCCGTAAAAAATTTAATCATGAGTGTAAAAGAGCATTTCTAACTCCATCGTTTCACGTTTCCTTGTTTCTTCTCTGCTAAACTTATTGATATGCCAATTATTTCGCAACCAGCCGATAGAATTGCTCGTAACTTCAAAAATAGATTGAATAGAATTAATACGTAATAGAATTGCTCGTAACACCAAAAATACTCAATAGGCGTCATAATGACCGAGAATTTCTACACAAGGTGACGCGATGATGTCACTCTTTATCAACTAAAATATTTTCGTGCATTCATAAATATTTTGTTGACTAACAGCCTGTGGATTTTAGAAAACGCTGAAAATATTCTAGTTATGTTTGTATTGAAAGTAGATGAAGACTTTGCACCGTCACTCTTATAGAATCATATGAGATAATCTGAGTGAAGTGAAGCCATCATATCCACTCATTACAAATTCCGATTCAAATAATTCATAATTTCAGTGGAATTTGGCTGAAAAATATTTCTGTTCGGGTTTCCAGCATTACACCACAAATACACACTTTTGTGTCGCAGGAAAATAATCAAATAAACATACAAGCACACTATAGACACTCACACTTGAGATGCGCGGTGGTGTTCTGTATGACGTGCAGCGTGATGGTGAGCTGCCCGTCTGCGGCAGGAGGTGGTGCTGACGCTACCACCCTCACCAGCTTCACGGCCGAGCTGGACGCGGCGCTCTCACCCACTACTGCGTACGGCTGCAGGCAGTCGCTCATCAGGAACGCCTGCCACGCAATTATTAAACAAAACACATTTAAAGGTTTTTTGGCGCGAAAACATGAACTTTTAAACATGTTGTATCTTATAATTATATAACAAACTTTGGTACAGAGCTGTAAGTCGCACGGCAAGAGTATCCTAGACAAACATAAGCCTAGAATATGAACACGAAATCACAGGCAATTTTCAATTAATGACATTTTTCTATGTTTCATTTGTGTGTTAGAAGCGGGAATGGAATGGAATTTGTGAATTAGAAACAGGAATGGAAGCAGGAATCACCGAAGATGCCGATCGAGGGACCAAAGCATTCAACCCCATACCTGGTTCCCGTCGAGCTGGGTGTAAACTGGGGTGTCAAGTCGCTCCTCCCCCAGCGTTATAATTTTTTGCCAGTCTTGCTCTTGGCTTCCAATTGCTGTATTTTTGACGGCAAATACGTGAAGCTTCCAAGCTGCGTGCTGCAGGGAGGCGCTGTGTTCGAATGCTAGCACTGCTGGCTTCAGCAGCTTCGTGCCGGGTGGGCCACACCAGATTAACGGGCTTAATAAAGTCTGTAGAAAATCATGAAAAAATGGCACCATGTGAGATCAAGTGGTCGAATCATAATGGAACAAAGATGGAAAAAAACACGATCGAAAATGAATAATCATGGTTCATGATGGAACAATTAGTCGTCAATAACCACTTTTCTGTCTAGATGCAGAGATAACAAATTTTTTTAAGGGTATCACACCAAATATATTTAAGAAATTTGAAACTAAACTTATAACTAATTTCAGCTAAAATACTACCTACCTGTCTCTCCGTTTGCATAGGAAGACAGTGCGCATATGGAAGCACTGAAAGATATAATTTACACTTCTTGTCGTGGGGGATTGACCCTTGCGGTACAGTGAGTGAAACTCCATACTCCGGCACAATGAGTCGTCCCCCTGAGGAGCCAAATTCCTCCCACACAGTCCCCTCCCCGTGGGGAACGTGGAGGTGCGTTTCAGAGTGTAACATTGCTGGGAATGCGCCGTCAGATCCCGAGTTCACACTCGGATGAGAGTAACCTTGAGTGAAAAACGCCATTGAAACTATAATTATAAATTGAATTGCTGCGATTGTGCTTTAAGGTACATTCTATTATTTAAAATTGACACTAATAACTTTCTGTAAAATGCAGCCACACTCGGATGAGAGTAATCTGTAGTGAAAAAAGCCACTAAAATTATGATTATAAATTTAATTGTTACGATGATGGTTTCATGCATATTCTATTATTTTAAATTGTCACCAGTAACTTTCTTAAAAATGCAGCCAAGTTTCAATAGATCGGTTCAAATATTTCAGCTTGGCTACATGGCTTACCAGAAGTGGCTTCGCTGATGTAGGAGTTGGGCGATGAGCTTCGCGGTTTTTCTAAAGAAGACCCAGGAGACGATTCGCCTTTTCTGCTGTTACTAAACCTGGTCGACGAACCCCCTAATGACTTTTGTGTTGGTAGTAAATGAAAACCTTCAGAAGGTGAGGGTGACTCAAGACATGATCGTATTAGTGGTACATCATAAAAATGTTCAGACGGCGGAGTTTTGGTCCCAGTTGGTGGAGTTTCTCCCGGAGCTGTGTAGTGAACTTCATATCTAAGTACAGACTTATTCTGTTCGTTGCTGGCGACTGACGCTGGAGAAGAATAAGCGTTGTCTATCACGAGTCCCCCCGACGACGTCGTACTGCTAGACTGGTTGCCGTTAACCATCAACTCAGGAGGAAGAACTTTCACGGTATTCTTCGAATTTGTATCCGTATAAAACGGTAACGAGTATTCTGTACGAGTGATAACAAACAAAATTTCAGAATAAATTGGGCTTCCGCTTCTTATTATTTTATATCGTAGGTCAACATTATGTTTTACGGAATAATTTGTCCAATTTTTGGTGTAAATGTGATCAGTTGTTTTATTTTACTTTCAGAAAATCAACTTTTAATATCCTTTCATCGCGTATTTGTGAAATTGGAACTTATGCAAATAACCAATGCTTTTGCTGAAGCTTTATCGCCGGAAAAAGCAGAGGTAGCGTACCTAATAAAAATTAATATATAAAATAATATAATAGAATGTACCTGTGGAAGCCACCTCGTAAAGTACGCCGTTTGGCCGGGACTTGGAAGCAAACTTCCTGAAGAGGAAGAAGGTAAGGACCAGCACCAGCGGCACTAGCACTGCCAGCACCACGATCAGAGTGATGTCCTGCTGCAGAGCCTTCTCCCGAGCTGTCATGGTGACACATACCAAGCATGTTATTGAAAATAATAAGAAAGATACTAATTTAAATTCATGCAATCAAGTATCAAGAAATTTGAAAGAATTTAAGACCAGATTCTAAATATCGCGATTTTTTGTTATATGCAGTTGAAATAACAGTGATAAAGTCATACATCATCTCAAATCTGGATAAAATCAGGATACTGCGAGAAAGAATAATCGAATTCAGTTAGTAGTTGAAACAGCTAAAATCTCGCGTTTTATTGAGGAAAACAAAGACACAAAAAAAAACAAATTATGAAAATTTTGGCTGAAAATAATAGAAAATAAATATCCTAAAATTTTCAACTCAAAATACTGCAAAATTAGGAAAAAAATAGATTCTCACCTTCTTGAGTTGATTCGCTGTCGTAGATTCTATTAGTGCCTTGAAAAAAATAATTACAGATTAGCTTATATAAAAGTAACCACATTTTAACAGTCATTTTATAAGGATAATTTATGATAATTGAGATTCCTATCTTCGCTTGCATATGTCAGTGAAAGGAACCTTAATTAACAAAAAAATATGTTTTGAGGGAAGAAATGAACTTCGTGGAATTTAACACCCGAACTTTATTTCAGACAATTTATAGAAGGACGCACTCAAGCATGTTAACTTCATACAAAAAATATACATCAGATGAATTTGAAATAAAGGTGTTTTACTCACTCATGCACATGCCGCCAGTGCAGTTGCGCGTGACCGTGTCGTCCCCCACGCACACGCGTCCCCCAAAGAGGGGGGCGGGGGCGTCACACGCGCGGGAGCTGCGCTGGGTGCAGTCGGGACCACATGTGGACCACTCGCCCCACGCGGACCACGCGCCGTCCACAGCTATGTAGATTACATAAAATATTTTCTTTATTATTGTGTGTAAGGTTATGTTAAGGCCAAAATATTTCTATCTTATAATCAAGGCAAAATTATTTTAGCCCCTTAACAACGAGAATATTATTTTGCGGACACTGTTCATGTTTTTAAATTATTTGTTTTCGTTTTAGTAATGGCTAAACTGTAACCATCGGTATAATCATATAACCATGCTGATTATAGACGAAGACCATGATGATTAGACAAGGACCATGAGTATAACCATATAACCATGATGTTAGACAATAAGTAAAAGTAAAGGTCCCTCGCCAGCGTCTACAAATTCATTACTTTCAAAGAAAAAACGAAGTCCGCCAAATTAGAAAACACAATTTGTCTTCGCGTATTTTTATACCACAGTAGAGTTACATAGTTTTTTTGCATTTTTTCTCGTCCAATTGAAGTGAACTAGTGATTCCTTTTTGGGAGTGGAATTTGGGGGCAGCAAAGAATGAAGGGGAGTATGAAAAGTGAGAATTTTGGAGGGGAGCGGAGGTTGAACTTGACTGCCGTAGCCCATAAAACTTGAAGAGGTCATGACATTTCAGGTACCACAGAGCACTCACACTTAGAAAAATCAATGGTACGTATTGTTCAAATGCTGACGCACATTTCCTACCCAAAGCACAATCAGGTAGCGGAGGTAGTACGTAGCACTGATACTCCCTTTTACCGGAGCAAACTAAATCAAGATGACCCACACGGTGGCAAAAAGTGCATTGATATTTGGACAAAGTGTCGTTCGTTTCTCCATGAGCCAGGCACTGCAGTACAGTCACGTTCACAATGCAGGTCAAAGTTGACTACTTCCTGACGAGGCGACGCGGATGACGGGGTGACTTTCGCGGGAATCACGAACGTCCGCAAGATATTACCGATATCGCGCAAATAAATCTGAGTCGTTTTCATTGTTACGGATATTTTAAACAAAAGAAGCAACATTTCTAGATGGGAAAACTTTCATGGTGACACCGAAGTAAATCAAGCGAAATTCACTATTCTGTGTCAGTCCTAATTAATATATATTAATTAAATTAATATCGTATCAATTTTGATTAATAATCTTAAAACTTATTTTTACGATGTGTTACAGGGCCTTTTAACAAATAATTTTATATAACATGGAATGATATCAAACACTTGTACGTGCATATCAGTTGACATATAGTTTCCCGGAGCAGTGCATCAGAAAATGTTACCAGCATTTTCACTCTAATTCAAAGCACAGATTCCGACGCATTTATCCACGCATGTCTGCGATCCTCAAGCGTGTCTAAAATCGTCGAGACTTGCAGCCATGTTGGCTGCATCATCACCGTTATACTCACAGCAATTTTTAACAATGGTTGTCGCAGTTAAAAAGTGAGGCATTGTTCTCGGGAATGAGAGATGCAGCAACGCTCAGGAGTCACAGCACAGACTATGTAGTTCTTAATAAACTCTTGGAAAATAATTAGCGAATTAAAGCTTGACGAATAAACCGAGCTGTCCCTGTGTGGCCAACCGAACATCGCCCACCTCACCAAATGCGAAGGCGTGCAGTCAAAGCGATCGAAAGAATACGTTTTTCGTAATACATTTTACCAAATAAAAAATTTCTATGTTGAGGAATATAATCGAGATTAAGGAATGTACTTCAGATTAAGGAGTGTACACTAGATTAAGGAATTCAATCTAAAGGTCACACTAAGGAATGTAATAAAAAGGCTAAGTGTTACACTATCATTACGGTTATAGTATTATTATGGTTACACTATATCGTTATGGTTACACTATCATTATGGTTACACTTTTATTATGGTTACACTATATCGTTATTGCTACACTATTATTAGGTTTACACTATCATTATGTTACACTATCATTATGTTACACTATCATTATGGTTACACTATCATTATGTTACACTATCATCATGCTACACTATCATTATATTTACACTATCATTATGTTACAATATTATTTTGATCAATATGATCAACATTATCACATACGCACACTATCATTATAGTTCGACTAACATTATCATCATTATGTTCAACATGATGACATACGCACACTATCATTATAGTTCGACTAACATTATCATCATTATGTTCAACATGATGACATACGCACACTATCATTATAGTTCGACTAACATTATCATCATTATGTTCAACATGATGACATACGCACACTATCATTATAGTTCGACTAACATTATCATCATTATGTTCAACATGATGACATACGCGGGCAGTTTGTAGAGGTGCAGTCAGACCTCTCGAAGGCGCTGCCCTGACAGGAGGCCCCGCCGTGTCCTGGTGGTGGGGCCGTGCAAGTCCTAGTGCGCTTCTGGGACCCCAGACCACAGTCTGCACTGCACTCAGACCACGCAGACCACGACGACCACGACCCGTCCACTGCACCGGCAATTACAATAACCATATTCAAGATTAATAATTTTATATTTCAGCGTAGCTAATACATATATAAGAATAATAAATTCTAAGAAAAATTGAAATAATTTTTTACAATATATTTTTATTTGTTTATACCGTTAGTGTACTTTTTTACGTCATCTCTACAAAAAGTACATCTAGCCTCCAGCTAATCCAACTTTCACCCCCTAAATTATATCAAATTATATCCGCTGTTAAATGTAATATGATTTTTTTGTTGGTTTACCACGATAATTGCACTACACGCGCTATTTGCTATAAATTCTATCAAAATTTCTACATTCAGGTAGCGGGATTGTAGCCTATCTACACCAAATTTATTTGTTTCAATTTTATGGTATTTTTCAAAGACGAAATTATTGCAAATTTATCACTAACTGTAACTTATCCTTTTTTATCCGTACGTATTATCTTTAAATGTTTATTCATTTTAAATCCTGTCATTTCAATATTATATTTGTTCTAACTCCGAAATAACGTTTTAAATACCAAACAAATCATACTTAGATAATATAATTTTAAAATCATCAGCAAATAGCATTTCAGATTCCATCACCCTACTGCAGAAATAATTTAGACCAGGTAAACCTCATTATATACTAATACATTATTATTATTATTACTAATTCATATTTGCTTTCATCATACTACTTATCTCCGACCCACCACGTACATGCACCAGGCATACTGCGTATTTTTAATCCGGTGGCCGTTAGCGAATGACATAGATACAAACTCGGAACTATTTTGATAATACGATACACTCCAGCCAGCTACGTGTTCCAGATACACTCCGGCCCAAATACGTGTGCCAGACACACTCCGGCCCAGATTCGCGCACCAGATACACTCCGGCCCAGATACATGTACCAGACACACTCCGGCCCAAATACGTGTACCAGACACACTCCAGCCCAGTTACATGTTCCAGACACACTCACCATAGACCTTGAGTGCGGCTGGAGGCGACACGCGCTTGGCGGCGACGTTCTCAGCGACACAGGAGAAGTTGGCGGTGTCGGCGAGGCCTGCCGAGAGCAGCAGCAGGGAGCCCTCAGACGACACCCTGCGAGGGGAAACAAATAATCCGGTTAAAATTAGCTTAATAAATGAAAATAGTTCTAATTTTCAGAGAGATAGAAGAAAAATTGAGGGTTTTAAATTTAATACATGTGAATTAGAATTTAAAAATATAGTCACTACACCAATGACTGAATAAATGAATTTGATCAATTGATTGAATGTTTGATAAACCCGTAACTTTCAGGAATCATCATCATTCATTTGAATTCAATTATGCTTTTCGAGCTTATTTAGCAATTTACACAAATTAACTTTAATGCTAATAATTAATTTTCTCGATTCTAACAGTTACAGAAGACTTAAGAAGCCCCAATAACAAAAATATCGAATGTTTGTACATGCTTCTTTTAATTTTGAAAATCTAAAACATAAAAGCGTTTCAGGCACAAGAGAAGCAAACTCTTTCTTTTTCCTATCATTTTCATTTCAAATTTGCATTCAATTTGTTTTCAACTCCATTAAAACCTTCTGTCCGCGTTCCATTCTTTTGATAAAGAAAACGAAGTTGAAAATGCAAGTAGTTAAAGAATTAGAATCGAATGTATTAAAAAATAAAAAGGAGAATAGAGGAGAGATTTTCGTTGCAGTTATTTTGTGGTCTCAACCACAGGACATTTTCAAGCCTCAGCAGCCACACTAACGGCCTCAGCTGCGATGAACACAAAAGCCCTGCAAAACCGCTCAACCACATTTGCTAGTCTTGCGCAAAATGTTCTCTTAACGAGCCACATGGGCTGCTAATTAACAGTAATGCAGCGAAATTTAGCGCACTTGGTCGTTTTCTTTTAATTATCTTCGGTTCTGACTGACCGGTTGTTAGAGTTGTACGGCTGCTTAAAACTTTGAATTCGATGGCTTGTCATTGACTCATCACTTGTCTGTAGTTAGACTCAAGGTTGAAGCCTGTAGTCTTGTGATTGAGTCAACACTTGTCTGTAGTTGGACTCGAGGTTGAAGTCAGTAGTCTTGTCATTGACTCAACACTTGCCTGTAGTTGGACTCGAGGTTGAAGTCGATGGTCCTGCCATTGACTCAATACTTGCCTGTAGTTGGACTCGAGGTAACACTTGCCTGTAGTTGGACTCGAGGTTGAAGTCGATGGTCCTGCCATTGACTCAACACTTGCCTGTAGTTGGACTCGAGGTTGAAGTCGATGGGCTTGTCATTGACTCAACACTTGCCTGTAGTTGGACTCGAGGTTGAAGTCGATGGGCTTGTCATTCTTGAGCCAGAGGGTGGACGGCGGAGGTTGTCCCTCCGGCGGCAGGCAGCGCATCTCCACTTGGCTCTCCAGCGGTACGGACCGCGAGTACGGCGGCTCGAAGAAGTGCCGACGCAAGTCTGTCCAAGAGAATATGAACTTATGTGAATTATCTAACTACACTAATTTCAAACGGAACTAATTCTGATCCTTATAATGCCTTGAGACATATCGTGGAGATAGTTTTAATGTTCAAATTCAGGAGCTTATATAATTGACAGTAATAAATTTTCATCAAAGGATAAGAGAAATAGCTCATGATTGGGCTTTTGGTTTACTTATGAAGCTTAGTTGTCCAGCTGGATAAAAAATCGCCTTTAATTTCTGGCTGCGCTAAAACCGGGTGAACGTATATGTCACCTTAGAAACTATATGCAAAAACTTCAGCAATGTGTTATTCTGCACTCGTAAAAAAATTAGTAACTGAATTGTTCAAAATGTGACCCTGACGAAGACCGTGTATCTTCTATAAGAAGAAATTGCACATGTACTAAATTCAGTGGAACTCGCATAATAACCTGTCAGGTTAACTTATTCAACGAACGGCACCAATGTAGGTACATTAATGAACCACATGTAAAATAAAATAATACATGCAAATTGAACAGAAGAGAAACTAGAAGCCAGCATAATCATGCGTGATGCTGTTCCATTCATAATACCGGACATCTGAACACAACTCCTACTTAATGAATCCATGTTGTGTGGACTTTAAGTACAAAGATACACCATCTACTTCTTGCGGAGCGCACCATCGCGATCGATGTTATCTCTCTGAATTATGGCCTCTAAAGAGCCGTGTTCTACTGGTAAACACGAGACCCAGGCCATTTTAGAACATAAATTCATCGGCAACTTTAACATTTCTTCTCCCATATCGCAGCAGTCAACAGCTAGACGACCGCTTCTGTTTGACACTTGCGGCGCAGCATAAGAAGTAAAAGAATGCAGTTCCACCGGCCACATGGCGTGGCCGCTAATACACGAGACGAAGTCAGGATCTGAGAGTCAAAAGGTTGCATTCAATAACGCTTGAAAAAAACAGGTTATCATGCGAAAGGCATCAGTCGTAAATATGGGCTCACAAGAAAGGGATTTTAAGGAACGTTGACTCGTAAAGAATAGCTTCTGAATTGCTCTCATTGTGAAAGCTTTACAGGGGAAAACTTGGGCTATAGAAAGGGTACATGAATGCCTCACAAACATATCAGCAAAGTTGATGTGTAAGTTGAAGTGAGTTGGAGACAAACCTGCTCATTCACAATCATTTGTGTGAGCGCTGCAAATCCTGCAATCGACAAAGAAGATCCGTTCTGTCACGAACTCAACTGGACAAAAGCCTGCAATAATTTAATAAAATTTGGAGCCAAGTAAAATTGCGGAAGATGATCGCATATCTAACTTTTTTAGTTTCAGTTCAAAGAATACATGCCTTTAATAAAAAAAGAATGCATGGACACATTTTCCCAGCTCAGTTTTTTCTCAATTGGAATAAAAAATTGTAAACTTATTGGCCGTGATCTTAAGGGTGACCTAACGAATTAAGCTTGTATTCTCTCATAACTTGCAATCAAGACATTAAAAAACATGAATACGATTTACTGAAGGTTAATAGTCTCAATTACATCCGCTTGTACAGAATTAAAATTAGAGCCTTTGTTATATTTTATTGTGTGCTGGACCATTATAAACCGACTTATAAAATAATGAAAAGTAACATTTCTAACGCTCCAAGTTATGAGTTAGCTTTGGAAATTACGCGCCTCATTGACATTTAACGTAATTTTTGACCGAAACCCGAGCATTGGTGTAAAAAATTGTTTGCATCACTGCGCATGGAAAGCTTTTGCTGTAAGTTCATAACTGAATATTTACGCAGCCGATGCAGTCGGCTCGAAAGTTTATAGCGAGTGCAATCGCACACACCTTGTTTACGATCGGGAAAAGCCGCAAGTCGGAAGGTCAGAGCGTCTTCTTTGGGCTCCAGTGTAAATTATGAAGCGATAAGCGTCGTTGGCAATGAGTCTTGACTGCAGGATTACACGACAAGCAACGTAAGCCGCAACAAACATTGCCAGTCAATCGTCGATGCCGCAACTTAAGTGCGTGTATACAAGACATGCATGCGTCCGCGCGGCTCGTTCTGACATGCCGCTTTTTGCTTGATTTAAATTGCATGACGACAGCAACCTGCAGTCATAATAATGTTATATATTCTAAGTACCAGGAAAAAATCATGCTGAATCTTGTATTTATTCCACAACACGAACAATTAAATAATTATCTAAGTTTACAGTAATTTAAAAGCAATAATGACACGTTTACGTTCTAAGGAAAATTTAAAACCGAGTTTTTGCTCGTTCAGGCGGCACTCCAACGATCATTCGTATCCATTAGAGGCGCACGCCTCATGAAAATATCCAATCTTTCATTACCAGATGCGCAGACGATGCTTTCAACCTGCAAGTTACTTGACCCATGCCAGACATGAGGTACGTGAATGTCTAATCGACTACGTTTAGAATCTCCCCGTCGCCAGGCAGGTTAGGCTTGGAGCTGACAAAGAAAGACGAATCATATTTGATTTCAGGAGAGATTCGCCGAAACGGCTTGCCAAATTACAAGCGTTTACTAGAATTGCCTTCTGTTTGGTTGAATAATTTTTTACTCAATCAGTTGAAAACTGAATACAACGTTCCTAATCTGCACTTTCACCACTGTCCACAAGCCTTCGGATCGTAACGTGGCTCAAACTCATCCAGTACTTCACGCGTTAAAATAATTCTTTAATTACCGAGGCAAGACAGGCAAACAACATCAAGTTGTTTGTCTACGTTTTAATTAACATTCAATAGAATAAAATTTCATCTTCAAACACGTTACGTTCAGCTCAGTTCCTGTAGAAAGGGAAGCAAACAAAATTGCTCATCTGTCTATTTTGGTGTTGAGTGCATATGAGCGGCAAAATCAGTCAAGAGTAAATCAGGGACTTTAATTACAGTCTGACACAACAATAATCCCACATGCATTCAATCCACAGACCCGGAAATACTTTTAACCTGTGACAATATAAAGCATTTAACTCACAGTCCACATATCTTGTTATGTTTTTACAGCTATACTCACTTTTAACAGCATGTGCAGCACGGCACTGCAGCGTAGCAGGTTTATTCTTGACGATGTAGGCGTCGGCAGGAGAGATGACGAACTCGGGATTCTCAGCGTCAGTGCCAGGCTTCCCTTGTAAACTTTTCGGACTTTCTGAAAGGAGATGGTAAAAACTTTTCTTTGTCAAGTTCGATAAGCTTTTTACAAACTTTCCTTGCTTCTAAACGCAACATAAATTTTTCCTTTGTTTGAATATATTTAAACTATTTTATTTGGAATGGAGCTGTTGATAATTAGATTGAATGAAATTCAAGCTACTAAATGATATATTACAATGTTTCAACACTTCGAATTCGCTACCGTTTTCCATAAACCTAATTTAATCGAAATTAGCCTAACTTAAACTAGGCTGACCTAGTAGAGGTTGCGCTAGGCTAACCTAACCTAGCCAAATTGAGCATAGTGTTATCATACGTTCTCCATAAATGTTGTCCAGGTGATCATAATGTTCTCCATAAATGATTTTTTTTATAAGACGGGTTTAGACAGTCAAGTGACGTATGCCGACATTATACATTAGAATTATTGCCAAAAAAACATCACATTTTTTATCCGGAGTCAACAACCGACGACATTGCGGCGCTGAAGAAAAGATCGTCGCACTTTTCACAAGATCAAGAAAAGATATTGCAGGATAGCCTCGTGTAATTAGCAGGAGGCTTAATTGAAAGCTCGGCAATAAGAGGAAATATCGTTAGGCTTTAATAACGCATCATTAGGAAATAACGTCACGGGGCAAGTGCCTCCAATAACAGGCTGTTCAGCCTGCGGAGAGCGAATGCGGCGTGCAGTAAAAATTAGATGGCGCATTGTGACGGAATAAAGTGCCGCAAAAATTTTACCTTGATTAGTGAAAGCATACAAGGCAGTGTAAATCAGATCTAGAATTGCAACGTCGAGCGACGTACTAATCAGGTTCCAATGTGAAAAAATATAGCGACATTTTGCCGGTTTACAGACGCGGATTTGAATAAGAAAAATACCACTGAATCCAAATGTAGCCTGACGTAAGTATAAGGATAAGTAAATGTAGCCTGACGTAAGTATAAGTAACTGTCATTGTTGTCACCAAGTTTTCATACCAACGGTGGTTTCTGGCCGGCAGTTCTGCCGCGGTCGGCGTAATATAATAAGCAGTCTTGGCGATAGAGGAAATTAATCCCCGCAACAATGGTCTTTAATTACCAGTAATTCTGAAGACTGCGTTTCCTGTCAGTTACGCTTACGGTAATCACGCCGGAAAATAAGTTCCAATAATATATTTTCTGCAGATATTTTAGTTTTCGGTGGATATACTCATAAGTTCTTTCCAGGAAAGAAACAATTTTAATTTATACCAAATGAGGATTTAATTTTTTAATGAATCACTAGAATAGTGAAAGATTGGAAAGTGCTCGAATATAATTTAAAGTGCTTGCAATTATAGGTATAGGTTGTTAAACCAAATATATTAATGGTTAATTAACTGGTCACTGATTAATTAACTGGTAGTTAACCTATTAACTTAATTGTTAATTAATTAACAAATTAGTACAGTTATTTCTGTAATTAGCTGGGGCTATCATTGAATAATTAACCAAGCACTATTACATTATCAGATCATTGAATAGTATTCGAATGGTGGATTGCTTGGACTGTGTCAATTATCCGGCCACAGCCCATCATTGAATTGAGCTATGTTCTGACTGCAAGTTTAAATGTATACATAATACATTTCACTTGACCGTTATTTTAGTGACCCAGGTACAGACCATATATGAGCAACCGTTAGATGCATGTTATAGTATACACTCAAGAAAATTAGTGAGACAATTGGCCCAAATCGGGACGCACTTATTGCCGTTGTACGAGTCATCCTAAACCAGTTTGACCTGGAAAAAAGATGCATCAGTGCTACGATCGCTCCCTGCCCATGCGATGTGTCAAAAAGTGTCATTATTCGGATAATATGACGTATTTATTTCATTAGTGTAGATTTTGTACTAATGGCACACTACATTCAGGCTGCGGTTAATTTCCAAAGACAAGTCAACGTACGAGGTTCATATCTTCATCCCACAATCGCCGACATTAGCATTAAAAAATTAAGGCAAGTCATCGCCCTCGTCGGGGACAAACGAGGGCCTGAGAACCCTTGGGTCTCATCAGCCTCCTTCTCCCTGCTCTCTGCTAATGATGAGCTTCATCAATGTCCGTCCACCCGTCCACCTACATTAAAAATCATCCATTCATCACGGACGGCCCATCAATGGCCTCCTATAATCCACCTCTGATTTTAACCACGCTCTATCTCAATCGACCTCGTCTTAAGAAGAAAGCTCCGTAGAATAAAAATTAATTCCTTGGAGACTTGCGCAAAATTGGCCGCAACATTTTTACCGCCAGAAGCGAAGAGGAGAAATACGTTCTCTTCTTGAGGAATTACTGATGCTGGCGGCCAGAGAAGAGGATCTTAATTTATGGCGGCTCAATGAAGGGTAACGAAACAATTTCAATATATAGTTATTGGGCACAAGAAACCCAAATTACTTCGCGAATTTCCCCCCTTAATGTCAGTATCGCATAGACTCGTTGCACTTCAAAGGCTTGGTTTCAGCATAAGATCAGTTGCGAGACGCAGCAGTCTCGCTAACGGCCTCAGTGGCGATGAATACAAATACCTGGCAAAACAGGTTTAATGTCATTGGTTCGTTAATGAGTTGAATTAATAGGTAATTAAGTTAATAACAGATGCTGCAAGTCAAAGTTGTGAGATTAACATTTTCACCAGATGTTCTTTGTATGACGTCTTGTGATGATAACCTAGACGTTAGCAGGTGGATTACCATTAGGCTTCTAAGAATCATTGAATGATATTACGTAGTTGAGTACAGTCTAACACATTGCGCAGTTAAGTACACTCAAACACATTACGTAGTTAAGTACACTCTAATACATTACGTAGCTAAGTACACTCTAATACATTACGTAGTTAAGTACAGTCTAACACATTGCGCAGTGAAGTACACTCAAACACATTACGCAGTTAAGTACACTCTAATACCTTACGTAGTTAAGTACACTCAAACACATTACGCAACTAAGTACACTCCAACAAATAACGTTTCATTCCACCCTCATGATTAATCATCACTCAGTTCTCATACCCAAGGCATGCGCGGCAATGCTTGTCAGCACTTGCTATGCGCTGCAAGGATGCAGCCTCGCTCTGCAGCGCTGACGTCCAGAGTATTTATTAGTGTATATGTTTAGCTACTTCAATTAAGCCGCTCCATGCCTCGTACGTTAGCGCCTAATTCAATGCGCATGTTAATGTGCGTCGCCCATCACTGGACAAAGAGGCACTTTAGCACCTTATCGCTCAGCAGAAACAGGAAAAAAAAGCACCGGATAAACAACACAGAACAAATGGGGCGGTGAATCAAAGGGTGACAACGAACCGCTAGGGTGACAAAGACGAGTCGCCAGGGTGACCACGATAAAGGTTGTGGTGACACTAAAATTATCGAAGTGATGATAGGAATAGAGTGCTGGTTGATTTCGGTAGGACGAAAGTCGAGAAAGTGTGTCTGGTAATTCCTGGAGAAACATTCAACTTTTGATAAGGCAAAATATTGATTGCCTTATCATTTCGCAAACAATTCACCTATGTAAGTAAAGCGATTTCTGATACAATATGTTGAGAAGTTAATGTAATATGTAATTGGAGCTTTAATTACTTCGTAAAAATATCAATTTTTTGATTGATCTATAGAAATCCATGCGATCTTTGTATATATTTGATTGGCTACAAGAAAAAACTGTATTTTCGCAAGATAACCCTTACATATTGAATCAACGGAATACCTATAATGAATCGGCCGGAAAATGGAAACCAGTAAGTTAGTAATATTTATGCGAAAGGAAATTTTTTGTTCAAGCAAGCTCAATGCCTTTAGAATTTCCTTTTCCTCTGTTCATTTAAAAATCTACTCTGGAATCGCATTCTTCAAGTTGAACTCTTGGCCTGTAAAGGTTCAAGGGTTCTTACTACGAGTAAAAAAGTAAATCAGGCAATGCATTGAACTGTGTGTATTTTTCTCAATGCCTTTAGAATTTCCTTTTCCTCTGTTCATTTAAAAAATCTACTCTGGAATCGCATTCTTCAAGTTGAACTCTTGGCCTGTAAAGGTTCAAGGGTTCTCACTACATGTAAAAGTAAATCAGGCAATACCATTGAGTCGTGTGTATTTTTTATAGTCCACCACTTGCCGGCATCAATAGAGGAGCTATGCAAGTCTTGTTATTGTGCTGTCGCTGAGTCTTAAAAGCATTGCATGCTTGATGGTCGCTCGCAGCTCGGAGTCTCGAAGTGTCCATATGAAGAAATTTCTTCGCGTGTCGCCGAATCTCGAAGACGAACGACCACGATCAACAGGAATCAGTCAAATGGCCTCTCGCTTAGCTGGAAATCACAAAAGACTTCGCCATTCTAGTCCCATTAACTATTATAGGTACGATATAGGTGGCCACTGGACCACTTAAGGCAGGCCGCTGATAAATCAAAAACATAAGTCTAACTTGAAAGCTTTGAAGACAAAACGTTACGTTCGTGCCTATGCTGAAGATGATTACGTCGCGTCTTTTAATTCAGTAAGCCTTTATCGGATAACGCAACCAAATTTAAATACGAGCAACTCAAGGATATGAAAATGCACTTCTTGGAACTATAGGTTCTTGATAAAGTAATGGCCCACTAAAATTGTTGATATTTGTGTTTTACTTACGATTCGTATTGCTGAAAAACAACTAAATTCCAGCTCTTTTGTCACACATAAGTGGCTGTTCTGCGACGTAAACAAGAAATAAACTTTTGTCCATCTTCACAATTAATTTCAAAGACTAATAAAAAGCTCCACGAAGTGATCAAATATGATTACTATTGAAATAAAAAGCGCTGCTCTAAATTTTCTCTTGACTTAAATCCATCTTCTTAGCCAACCATGTTATACTTATCAGGATTCTGGTCAGAATCTGACAATAGACAGCTAATGCGCGTCTAATTTCAAGTACTTCGATATGAACGACGAAAAACCCTTTGAATGCAAGACCGATGAGCTGACTTTGATCTGAGATGCGCATTTACATGCACGGGCTCAAGTCGGTTGACAAGACGTGATGGATTGATCACAACTCTCCGAGTTGAGTTGGATCTCTAAACAAAGATTCGAAAGATCCTGCTGCATTTTCAGAACTAGAAGCCGCACAGAATCGATGTTGGCCAGCTATAGCAGGCATCAGGCACTCCTGCACTAAGGATTAGGAGATAATTTTAAAAACTCCCAGTGAATTCATTGTGAAATATCATGAAGATAAGCTTTGTGTATATATATATGCACGTGAGCTCTGACACAAATATTGTGCGCAAGGTATAATATGAAAAGCATATATATATGTCAATTTTTTATATAAACTCAGCTTAACCTGATTATGATTATTTTGTACTCTATATGACCTTATAAAATTGTGAAAAAAGGTAAAAATAACTTGAACTGGCTAGACCTAACCCCTATAGAAAGGTGTCTAGCAAAAATAAAAAGTGTTTTATACACACTTAACCCTAACCCTATAACCTGACGAAGTTGCCGTTTTTAGAATGTCCGGTGATGGAATTTATCTATTTATGGTTCCGGTTTTTATGTACAAACTAATAACAGAGTACATAACCGGACGTAATTTTGTCCGGATTTCTAATCCCTGTCCGGTAATGTTAAAAATCCTGTCCGATTAATGACCGAAACTCGAATGTATAAATATATATTATAAATAAATTTACACTAATATAAAAAAGTTATAGTGAAATGTTTCCCATGCAGCGCTTTGCAACTACCCATGTGAATTTACTCGGCGCTAGACCTGTATTTTGCCAACAAGTTGTGTAATTTGCTACAATGGAAAAATTATCCGGAAAAAAACGGAGAACGGACATTTCTTCCGATTCATTGCGTCATTAAGGTAATTTTCAAAAATTTAATCGATAAATAATTGCAGAAACGAAACAGAATCATTACAATTATTCCCGCATTCTATAATACAATTGAACAATGTAAATTTTTTTGTACAGTGTAGGCTTAACTCGGCTGGATAATTCATTCACAATTCTTAAAAAAGACGAGCTGTGTGATGCTGACAGCGGTCCATCTTCTTCTGTGCTTCATGTACGACAGTCAACTCATTAATTCTGCGAGGAAAGGTTAAGCAGAGGCTAAGCAGGAGTTAAGAAGCAGCCATGTAATTCTTTATAAAAGTATAATTGAAAACTGCCTCTTCTGACACACCGCCTTGGGATGCGAGGTAAGCGCGTTGCAAAAATGAACGTCATAGTCCTAGAAATGAACGGGAAAATATTAACTGATCAATTTATTGGTGGGTTAAAACTATTGAATTTGTTGAAGAATCATAGCTCGTTTTCAATCACCAAATTAGCTCGTTGGTTTTTTGTGCTACAAAATTCACAGAACAAAGAAAAATAACGGGACATTGCATTTCATTGATTACTGAATTCTTCCTCTATGAAGTTCAACACGAAGTTTACGTTTCAAATTATATCTTCCTAGGATAAACTTCGTTAACTTTTACGTATAAAAAAAATGATTTTTCATTGTCTTTTATATTCGTGACATCGGTTTTTAAACAACAGAAATTGCATGAAAATTAGTAATTAGAATACGATAATGCCAAAATATATAAGAAATTCCATCGCTAATAAATATTTTTTCCTAGAGTCACCTACTATAAAGACCATGGGGACCCAAGGAGAGACCCTAATCCACCAAGTAGGATCCTATTAGGACCCTGTATAACCTAAGTAGGAGGCCCTCATCCACCAAGTAGGATCCTATTATGACCCTACATAACACAAGTAGGTGGCCCTCATCCACCAAGTAGGATCCTATTAGGACCCTATATAACCTAAGTAGTTTCTGGAAGATGATTAATAAAAGTGCGGTATTAAACATCATCAGATTTCCTTTTCATGTTCATCACAGTCATGGATATATTATCGGAAGATTCCACGATACGCAAGTCAAAAGAACTCCAACTGCAACAAAGGTTTCCATAGTACGCCAAGAACCACGCTTGGTCACATAATCTAGACTTGCATCTAGGACACAATGGTTCTATTCACATCAGAGTTCTAGGTAGCAGAAGCACTGGGAACTTTGCGGCAACTTTTCGCAATATACATGATGGCCTGAGAATATTCATGATACAAAAGGAAAAAAGTGTATATTCCTACAATACGTCAACGAGATATTGTTCTTAATTGTACCTATTTTGTCGAGTGATTCGAATTCAATGCAAGAAATGAGGAGTTTCATTTTTCTCACGATGAACTTGTTCAAAGAGGACCGTAGAGTCGCATTCAAAATAAATAATTTCAAAGTTTAGAATTTTACGTAAATGTTTTAACATAATCGCTCGTCTTCTTTTTCGTTCAATTGCAACGAAAGTCAATGGTATTGTATTTATCTGGCATGATGCTCAGTATAATTTTGTCGCTTGTATGCACCGCCAACAGATATGCTTTATCTCGGACACAATACCGGACACTGCATTTCCCTGAACAAAATGCACGATATACCGATTCAACCTTCGCCATTCAGATCACAAGCGCCTCAGGAATACAGCAAAGAATGAGAACGCAAATCTATTTACAGACATCCTGGAATAAATTTGATAGCCACTCCTTCCTGACCGATTTATTTCTGATTGGGTCGAGGTTACTTCATTAATAAATGCAGCAATATTTGTTAAGAATAGATACTACAGTAAATTCTACCAATACTAACTACACAAGAGAATATGATTTCTACGCAGACATAAACCAAACAAATACTGTCGTCATCGACATAGTTACTTTTATTTTCAATCTTCTAGAGAAGCAACGTTTAAATAAATTTAACTCACCTGATAGATTTGCAGATTCGATTACAGCGCTGCACAGCAGCAACAGAAGCAGCATTAGGAACGGCGATGTCCACGAAGAATTTAAAGATTTTAGTCTTCCTATTGAACTTAAAGATTTTGGGCTATTTTCCACCAAAAACTTGCACGAAACACGAACTTTTGAGCTTGTGTAGGCACTTAGATTTCTCACAGAAAAAAGCACACGTTTTTCTAGTTCACGAATATAGGCAACAAAATTATTCAAGTCCATCGCATGGGCAGGCTTCTGAAACAGCGGCATCAACCGGTGGTGGTGATGGTAGGTATGAAATTCTTTCCTGGATGAATAGACTATCTGTTTGGTCGTCATTTGCAAGCTTGATGCACTGCTTTGAAGCACGCGTTCACAAACATCAGCTTGTTTACAACGGCGCTCTTGTTTTGTCCGAGTAAATCTAGTCTGATGTGCACACGAACATTGGTTTGTTTGTTCTGCTTTCGACATCGAAGCTTTGACGCAGCGTCTCGTCATCGCATCGAACATTTGATCACCCACACCCAGGTTTTGGGTTCAGCGACAGCGAAGTTCGAGATCACATACGGTAAAGTCTTGCAGTCCACATTTCTAGGTCAAGGCTAGCTTTCACTTAACTAATTTCAAGCCGCAGTGCTCGGAAGCTCTTGAATAATCATTTATTTTACCTTAAATGAATTCTGTGACAGTTTATCAGACCTCTCGGCACAGTTACGACCGACAGTGTCCATTAAACACGACCAGACCATTATACTGTATCTGACGGGGCATTGTGAACCGGCTGACCTTAGCTGACATGTGGCGATGTATGAAGAGTAGCCTGCTGTCACCTGCGCATCAAAAAATTAAATGGATTAATTATTTTGACCCGTTTAAACAGAATATTTCAGATGGGATGAACATAGCGCGTTACATTCGAGTCAAATAAGTAAAAACTCAAAATATATAATTGCATTATCAACTGAGCACAAAATAATCCCATCATCAAATGAAAATTATAAATTAATCAAGAATAAGAGGAAAAAATAGTGTCTTGTCACAACTAAACATATGAAGTTCTGTAGCAAGATTCCATTTTCTCTTTTTAAATGCATTGGCATATAATTAGCCATTTTTCATTGCGCCGGCTCTCTCATAGAGCTTATTCAAAAGGCGTGAAAAACTTCGTGAGTGAAGTAAACGAATCTCCTCCCACGGGAACAGTTAAGCAAAAAATTTTGTCTGTTGTCTCGTAACCACGAAACAAACATCGCAACTTTGTACGCTAGTCTGCCATTTTTTGCGGTCTGTCTTCGCTACAAAACAATCTATGGTGGCTTCAGAAACCAGTAAATGTTGTGACTCAAGCGAAATATTCACGCGACTTTAATGCAAGAAGATAATTCATACGAGCGCTGCCAGGGGTACGGCGCAGAAGCCTTGACTGGCGAGAAAAAACATTTCGGACTATACTGAAGATTCTTATATTTTCTAATGAATAGTTTTCAGCTAAAAATAAGTCGTGCATTGCGTATGTTAATTCTTCGCACATAAATTCTAATTGAAATTGTTTTTTCAAACAACATTGGCAATTTCAATTTTTTATTTACTTATTCAAATTGATTAATCCAAACATTATTGCAATATTAGAATTTTTTGTGTTAAACTGACACACTATCTTTTTTATTCTATTTTATATACTTACTCTAATTGTTACGGAATCGACTCACTCAGTTATTAACAAACTCACTACCTGTTAATGTGAACCATAAATGAACTTCTATAACATCTAAAACTTTTATGCAGACGTGACAAAATCATTTATTAGTCTAGAATCTAGATTATGGAAAATTGTTCATGAAATTTTCAATCCTTAATTTGGGTGAAATTTAAGCATTGACACTGTTAGAGTAACGTTAGAGTAACGTTAAAAAAGTTAATGTTAGAGTAACGTTAAAAAAGTGAATCTATACAACAAATTTTTAGAAAAAGAAAAAAATTACATATTTTCCTTCTTGGACAAAGGCTCAGAGTTGTCTCAAGAACCGCGCAGGCAAGCACCACAGCACAAACATCGACATGATCGTGACTACGGAACGAATCGTCGAGGGCGTGACGATCCCGCCGCACAGACGACCGATCGTGGCGCGGACCTGTCGCATATTCGTCACGATTATTTGTCACGTCGGTTATTTGCTCAAAACAAAACGCAAAAACACGACACACTTTTTACGAGACAAAATTATCGTTGTGCAGATCAGGAACAGTTCCAACATAACTAATCCGTTAAAAATTCAGTATATGTACAAAAAATTTGCAGCGGGGTTACGTTATCGCACACTCCTTGATATTTAGCACGTAATATCATCGGAGAACGAATTAAGCCATAAACATAATATCGAAAATTACTAACTTCAGAAGAACTGGAAAAATAAATGTTATTACCGTTAAAAAGTTAACGTATTCGATTCTGTATTTTAGAATGAACTAAACTTGATTAGGTTCGAGTATTAAGTCGAAGATTGCAAATCTATGAGTACGGTATTATACCGTATACATGCTTTTAGTGTTATTTTATGTGGAAAGTTTTTCCAGCCGTTCCAAGATTGCCGCTCCTAATAAAGTCAAAAATCCTACGTCGGTTCAGGTGCCAAATATATGGCATATATATATGCCAAAAATAAGATGTTGCGTAGTGAATTTTGATGTCCTCGGCGAGTGCCGGAAAAGTAAGCAGCCATCACCGGCCACTAAAATCATCCACGGACCGAAAATGGTGACGAAACGTGCAATATTTTGCAACACGGAAACAAACAAACTCGTGTTCTGATGAAGGTTTTCAGGAAGTGATTGTGCACCGCCAGTCATTGCGCTGACACGGGAAAATGTGTGTATATTTGAACAGTTTCTTATTTAGTTAGGCCATGCAACCCGAAATAAGCGACACAAATTTAAATAACCAGTCATTATAGTATCAGTGATGGTAATTTAGGCACGCGTTGAAAGAAACTTTAACTAACGTACTGGCAAAAACTAATGCAGTTGAACTGGATATTTTAAAACTTGTACCAGCAATTGACTCTATACCCTTAAATAGAGAAGAAGATTTGAGGTTCTGGGTATTATTAACTAGTATTATAAACGCAAAGTTAATATCATATGTATTACATTGCCTAAAGTTTCACAATGTTAATAGCCCCATTAAACAAGTGGCAAAAGCGTCAGCGGAGGAAGCCTGGGAAAAAAGTTCCACTTTTGGCCGCGTGAGAAGGCGAGAAGTTCTTAGCAGTTCTTGCGCTTCCTTTGCCTTGGCAGCAAAAACCCACAACTTTGGTCGGCTTATTGTAGGTGCGCTGCTAGGCTGCGGTTTGTTGTGCACATACGGCGGCTGATGTTAATGAAAAAACATTGCTGATAATTGCAGGTGCTGGTGAGAATAGTGCTGATGATGTGAATGCTTGAGACGGATTGTGTTGATGGTTATTTAGAAGCAGTGCAAGTTCTGTAGTGATATTTTAGATGACGATGAAATTTATCGATTTCTCTTCTGCTCACGTTTGATTTGGTATCACTGTTTTTTATGGTTATATGAGATAAGATTAAAGCTGGAGATGCGCGGCAGTAAAAAGGGTANCCCCCTTTACAGCTGGGGCATGTCTCGCTGGGGCACGGAGATGCGAGCTTCATGAGTTGACAAGCGTGCATTGTCCTCAAATTTGCTATAAGAACGAATATTTCAGATATATTGTTAGGCTGGATATTTATTAGTAATTATTCAATACAAACAACATTTATTTTCTTATAAAAATCCTATTTCGTTTAGGACCTGTTTACACTTTATAAAAAACAATCAATCACATTATGATCTAGAAATAAACGCATATCGCTTCAAAATGTACGAAAACGCGTGTGTTCAGTAAGCACTAACCTTAATCTCCCATTGAAGTTTCTACGAATAAAAGCTCCAACAAGAGTTCATTCCCGAGAGCTCAGCCAAAGCTACCCACCATGCAACAATGGCCTATAAATATAAGCTAACGTTCAATAAAAATTCAAAGAATTTAGGCTTCACAATTGATTCAAAAGAGCAGAAAATAAACAGTACTGAACTGGAGAGTTTGGGAAGCGTGCTGGAGAGCCCAGATAAATTTAGCCAAATAGAAAAAAATCGCAAATGCATAAAAAATGTAAAAAAAATAATAAAAAATCGCACATACAAATCAGGTCGAGCACGAGTAACAGATTTAATTGTCTGCCTGATAGTCTCTTGAGAGGCTGATGCTCAACGGTTAACTCGAGTCGTGTTCACTGCAGGGGCGAATTTGCGCGCCGGGATGATGTCGATGATTATAAATAGTAGTTGTGGTTGGAAATTGAATCGAAACGCAAGACATCCTGTGAGATGTCTAAGCCGTCTATGCTTATTTAGTTGATAAACAAAGACGCAACTCTTTTACCGAAATATAACTGGATTCGAGCGGATTCTGGGTATGATCGTAATAAAGATATTTTTTTATTTATATTTTTCCAATCCCAATAGTTCCCATCTATTTCGAATTGAAAAAAACATAAGTATTTTTTGGTCAATAATTCAATTAATACAAAAAAATTATAGTGAAAAAATTAACCCTTTAGATCATAAATTAACTTGAGCGTTGTTCAGCTAGATTTTCTGCTTAATCTAGAATGCAGGGTAGGAGTCTATACTACAAAGAACTGATTTACAACTTCTGCTCTTCATCACGCTGACGAATTGTATCAGATCGGAGAAACTTTTTAAAATTCAAGCTTCTTATCGGGTTAACGATCGCTGCCAAGTGTTCAAGGATGAGGCGGAACACATAAAGATAAGTATAGCATTTAGAATGGAAAAGATCTGCACCTTAAATGTGTTTTTCCCGGAGACTGCCACTCGATGACGCATGTTAAATGGACTCACTATCTGTTAATGCGGACCAGAAATGAACTGCTATAACGTCCAAACTTCCGTTGAAATGGGATAAAATCAGTAAACTGTGACGAAAATACTTTTCTATGAAATGCATTATTTATTGTAAATAAATAATGCCATTTTTCAAACTGCCAATAGAAAACGATATAGAACTCTCCCACTTCAGTGAGAAAGACAGAATTTTGGCGAATTTTTTAAATCTATCTTCAGTTGGAACAAATAACTGCATGCTCAGCAATCAAATTTTGTTGGCACAAAATCTTCATTAATTCATCACATGCAGAATTAAGACGATAACTAAATTCTAAATTTAACAACGAAGAAAAATTGTTCCGTTGAAACTGATTCTTATAACGAAGCTATTTGTAAAGTTCGTTATCTCCGCTGTTTTTACCAGTTCATGGAGACCAAGTCGACGTTGGATCGATACCAATGGGAAAAATTTCTCCACAATATCATTTGATTCCAATGCAATTGAGACTGCGAACTTTAAATATTTTTCGCAGAAGTGTTAATAGCTTGGCGACTTATCTCGAATAGCTCTCATAAAATAGATGCGTTAAGGTGTATGTAGAGGCCCCAAACATAGCGTATCAGCTTACGCACTTAAGCAAATGGCAGGCCGTCGTCCATCAGAACGATTTTGGGCGCACGGACACAAAAAGCCTGGAACAAATTTTAAAATTAAGCATAAAAACGCGTGTACTCTATAATATAGCGTGCAATCGAGAATAGTAGAGCATTTTTACCTCAATTCATTTGCTGAATTTATATCGAATATTTTTATCTCAATTTTTTATTGGTTTAGGATTATTGCGCCTCTTTGCGCTGAATGATTTCAGCTGCTATTTATTTTCATATTTACTGATAGTTCCCAACTAATTTATCAAAAATGAAAAA